GGTCCTTTATAAGTGTCCGCATGGACATTAGGTTTTGCCACAGTACGTGCCTAGATGGTAAGCTATTTTTAGCATATATTGCTGAAAATAAAAAAGGTTTGCCGTGGAGACGTACCTATACCATGCAATGGACTTTCTGATTGGTAACTACAATTTCAGTAACCTGAATGAGAGCATCATTCCATAACACCCCAATTCTTCCTGACTGCCCTTCAGTTGGGACTTGAGATAGATGGGAGAAGTCAAAATCTTCTTTTATAGTTTGATTGTCTGCTATGTGTGTCTCCAACAGTACCACCAATGGAGGTTGATAATAATTTAGCAAGGATCGAAAATTTCTACGAAAGTCAGGTGATTGTGCACCCCTATAGTTCCATATGACAAAATTCATGGAGTTATTGGGGGAGGGTGGGGGTGGAGGTGTAGTGGTCTACTCCTATGGCACTGGATTCAGCTGACTTACCTCCTGTGGTGTTTGACGTAAAGTTGGAGTGATCACCACTGTGAACTTACCGGCTTCTTGATTGACGGGTGGCCTTAGCTTGATCAGGCACTTGGTCACCTCTGGTGGACAGTTGAGCACCATTTTTTTACATATTGCTCTTTAAGGACGGAGATGTGGCATGCTCCGAGCCACACTTGCTCTGTTTGAGTTTTCCTCATTTCCTCCATCAATGCTGCTAGTTCTTGTGGAGTGAGCAGTTCTTGATCGCCTGGGCTTGGTGGTTGGGGACTCATTAAGGAGGAGGGGGATGGGGTTAGTGATTCGAATGGACTCATCGGAGACTGTGGGGGTAGGGTTTATGGTATGTCGATGTGCTCATGTATCCAAGGGATCGGGGACTGTGTTTGAGAGTATAAGGGGAGTTTTGCATAGTGTAGTGGCTGGGAGGGAGACTGGTATTGAGGGAAGGGATTCCACTAAAAGTTGGTGGTCTGCATTGGGGTAGTTATCCAGTTGTACTGGCCATAAAATTGCACTGTTGTTGTCATTCCCTCGGCGATGATTTGAGCTAGGTCTTGGAAATTTTGGAGGCATATGATGACCTCCTGATTGTTGACGATCATTGAAAACGTCAGTACATGGTTTTGGATACCCATCTCCAACCATGATTGAGGAGGTTGGTGTGGATTTGGTTCCTGTGAGGTGTAGATGACAGGGTATGTTGGTGATGAAGGTGTGTATGTATTGTTGTTCTGCATGGCTTGGGGTTGGAGAAAGTAAATGTTGATGGGTCGATATGGAAGCAGAGATGACCTGCGATGTTGGGTCCTTAGAGGAAATGGTGGAGCATGGTATCTTTGCGTGGTGTGTGTGTTCTGATATATTAGAAGAGTTGAATTGAGGAAGTGGGAGTGGTAATGATTGTGCAGTGTTTACCGTTATTATGTTATTGGGTAAGGGAGGTGGTTGAGTGTGTTTAGGGATTGGATTTTTGTGTGTGTTTGGATTAGCACGTGGGCTGGAAGGGGAGGGGGAATGTTGCATGGAGATTGATTTAGTAGGGGATGTTTGTGGGGTGGGCTGTGAGGTCGGTAGAGGTAAATATTTATGGGTAATAGAAGTGTATTGTGGGCTTGGTATAGGGTTGAGTGCATGCATGCAAGGGATGTTGTGATTGGGTGGGATGGGATGTGCGCATGACGTGGCAGGAAGGCACCTTGTTGGCATTAGGGTCACTGTTTACCCTAGGTGTTTGTAAATTAGGTTTATACTTGTTGTTTGGGGTTTAAGGTGGGTCGGGTACGTAGGTGTGAAGTGGTAAAGACCCATGTGTAGTGTCAACTAAATTGTTTTGGCCCATAGGTTTTTCTTTTGGGCTTGAGGCCCTTTTGCCATGCACTGTGGAGGAAGAGGAGGGTACTATGTCGTTTGAGAAGTTTAACAATTCACAATAATTTTTAATAGCTAAGATATGATTAGAAGTGAGTTGATTAGATAATTTGTTAACTAAGGAGGAAGTAAGTACCTTAGGAGGGGGGAGTGTGCATACCTGAGTGTGAGTGCCTTACTTATGTCGTTGATGTATGTTGGGAGTCTGTTGGCATAATTGTTAAAGCTGAGTTTGGGCCATCCTGATTGTTGAGGAGCTGGTCGAGTGATCGCCGGTGAGCTTTTGCCTGTCTTTTGGGAAAAACAACTATCTTCCATTCGTCTTGGTGGGGGGGGGGTTTCCGTGTTAAATGGTGGAGTAGGTAATGAGTTAAAGGGTGATGAAGGTGGTGAAGTGTGGAGACTGAGTGTTGTAGGGCACTACGTGGTGGTGTGGCCTATGCGTCCACATCTAACCTTCGTGTAGGATTTGTTGGCGATGGTGACCTATAAATATATGGGAGTTTAACGGCATTTCCAGAGGTACTTCAATACAAATTCGAGAATAACGACCCCTAGAGGCAGATGAGGTGCATGTATCTATCTTAAGTAATTTGCCTAGTTTATTTCCTACTTGTTGGAGGATATGTTTGTCGTAGAATTCAGTAGGTAGCTCCGGTAGGCGTGACCATATAACTGTGCATGTAAGCTTTGCCTTGGATGCTAGAAATCTTGGTTTCCAGCGTCTAGCGGATATGAAATGGCCTAATATGAACCATGGCCCTTCGTGTAGAGCTTTGGTTGTATTTTCTTGTCTTTGAAACTTGATGAGAAAGAAATCATTGCCTAGATCTATAAGAGATATGGATTCAGTAGGTTTCCACAATTGTTGTAATTTGTGTTTGAGTGTGAGGTGATTCACTTTTCTCCCAAAAACTTTAATGATTATGGAATGTTGCCATGGAGAGTAAAGTTGCTCTTTGTCCTCTGTTGATAGCGGAATGAAATTTTCGGCAGTGTTTGTTGGAAGGTTTTCTTCTGCCATATCTATATGGGAAGGGGTTGTTTGGATGATTGGGATTGATTCGTCATTGTTGTGTAGTAGGGTTTGAAGAAAGGATTGAGTAGGTTATTTTGGATTGGTTCATCAATGTTCATAGCATTTGAATTTGAATGTGAGTCAGGGGGCTGGGATTTGGATTGGAGCATGTTCTGACATTTTGGATCATAAATGGTTTAGAGAGAGGTGAGAGCTTCTATCACTAGAAAACATTCGACTTTAATTGTTTGTAAGCCCTTGACTAGGTATTGGATGAAGTGGCTTTGTAAGAGCTTTAAAGCATGAATTACCCTTTTTTTTCTTTGATATAAATATTTTTCCCTCTTTTTGTTTTGGAAGAAGATTGCATAGAGGTTTGGCTCGATCTTGCTGGCGTTACTTGGGGAAGGATCCATCTTTGTTGCGTGCTAAATCCGAAAGAGATCATTCAGGGTTTTTTTAGATTGTGTAAATTGCTAGTTTTCGGAAAAATCTGTAAATGGGTGCTGAGGTTTTTGGGTTATGCGAGTGCAATTTTTTTTTTTTTTTGGCTACATAGGGTGCAAACTATTTACTTGGGTTGTATATACCTGAAATTTTCTCATTCTAAAAGGAAAAAGGGTTATATTTATCCTTCTACTTTTGAAAATAGTTTATATTTAACTTCTGATATACTATTGAAACAAAATACCTTCATCGTTAGCAAACCTATCACATATGCCCCTTACTCTAACAACTGTCTATTGTGGCACCACATGGCCTGATATTTGAGTGAGGTGGATGCCACGTGGCATGCCACCTTACCATCCTAATAACCACAATTTGAATTTTGTTCGTTAAATGTTGAACTTTTCACCTCTTTTTTTTCATTCAGTTTTTTTTTTGTTTCTCTTATTTTTAAACTAAAGAACGGGAGCAAAAAAGGAAATCAAAAGAAAGAAGCCCATATAATGGCATCCATAGACTCCAATCTAATTTGCAAATATCAGAATCCAAGGGTTTAGCTGTTGAAGAGTCACATCTCAACCTGTTTTGTTATGCATATTTTGGTTGGCTGAATATGTGATTCTTAGTCCATATTTATACCTTCCTGCTAAAAATATATTTATTTAGCTATCCGTTATGTAAAATACATACTGCTGCTAGGTATCTGATTTTTTTTATTGAATATTTGTCTACTTTTATTTTTTTCACCTTAATTTAGTGGTTTTTTTTTCTATTCTAATAAAAGATGGGAAAATAAATACACACGTGACGCCCATATGTCATTTTAAAGGTGACTAAGGACACTGTTAGGGTAAAGGGCATATGTGATAAGTTTACTAAAAATAAGGGTATTTTTGTTCGAATAGTATAACGGAGGTTAAATGTAAACTATTTACGAATATAGAGGGGTATATATGACCCTTTTCCCTTGTAAGAATCACGGGGCACCCTCATTTAACTTGTACTCACTTTTTAAAAAAATTAACTTATATGCAAGTACAAATAACTTTATATAAGATGCTTCTTCTCTGTTTTACCTCCTCCTCCTCCTTCTTAGTTGCTGTGAAAATAGAGGGTGACATAAATTTTACATGGTGCTTGCGAGCTGATTTTAAGATAGTTTATGGTGTTTTACAGTAGTGAGCTGCTACAACGCTCCTCTTTTAGTTACTACTTAGGGTTTCTTCGACTTCTTCTTCTTAGTTGGAAAATGGGTTTATTAAAATTATTATTATTTTGGATAGATAATTAGGATTTGTTCTTTATGATATTTGGAACTTATGCTTCAAAGACGAGCTGATTTGCAGTAAATTTGAACATTTAATCGTATATTGTATTATTGAAATTCGAAAAATAAATTTCTATTTCTAGGCAACCTGAACTTCAGACGAAAAAGCTTCTTAAGTACATCCAAAAAGTTAGCTATACTTTGATACACATACAGTCTTAAGTGCAAAAATTGGTTTGAAGTGCAAGTAAATTTTTGCACGCACCTAAGACGTGTTCGTTTTAAATCCCTAACTTCAGACAAAATTTGTAGTTCCAGACGCGAATTACTACTTCAACCGCGTATGTCTGAAGTTGTGTCCAAAAAGGATATAATTGCAAAAAAAGGAGAAAAAAAAAAATTGAACTTAGGCTACAGCTTAAACAGTGGCCCTATAATCGGTATATTTGTTCGCTTCCCATTTCCCATTTTATAATACCAGTTTAACAAACTTAAAAAGCGATAGACAAGTTACATATTAAAACCTAAGACACGAATAGTAAACATTAAAAAAAATTGCAGCATGATGTGCTTTTGAGGCTCAAGCGTGTACCCTTTTATCAGAGGAATCCAGTTGACCATTACACAATTCTTCCTTTTGTCAAGCAATGTCACCTTTCAGAATATATTTATATTTCAATTTTTCAAATATAATTTACATTTTTATTTAAAAAAAATAAAGGAAGAGGGAATTCAGTTGAACTAGTACCAGTTAGGTCTCCTCTGTTATCTGAATGATGCATTACCCAGATATGAGGCAAGCAACAGTTATATTCACCTCCATCTGAGTATTGCCGAACCCCATGTAAGGCCAGCCCCAAATCCAGCAGCAGCAATGACGTGTCCTGCCTGCACCTTCCCGCTCCGAACAGCTTCATCCAATGCCAAGGGAATGGATGCAGCACTGGTATTTCCATAATTTGCCAAATTGGAGATGACACGCTCCGATGGCACCTCTAACCGTGTTGCTATAGCATCGATAATCCTTCGGTTTGCCTGCACATATCCATACCCTATAAGCAGCTTCTCTCCACTTCATACTCAGGCGTAAAATTTAATGCATGAAACTCAAAAGGAGCACTAAGAGCTTTACTGAATTATCTTTAGCTGTATTTCTGTCATTTAATAATAAGAAATTCTTCTATAGTGGGATTCAACAATATGGTGCACTAGGCCATTAGCCAAAGCATATTCTCTCTACTTTGCCTACTGAAAATTACAACCTTTGCTTTTGGTAATATAGTTGCGGGAGGAATCTGCTTAGCACTACTATAGTGGCGGTTGTCGTTGAACCTATTTTATATTAACCTCTTCTATATACTGTCGGGCATAGTGTATATTCACGCATGCCTATTACTAAGTGTTATGGTAACACTATGAAAAAGACTTTTCTTTTCTTTAAGATTACAAGTGATGATAGACTATAATTACGTATTTTAGTCAATTATTACACTCTAATTTAGAGCACTTTAGTTGAGTTTGCGCTTTAATCGCTAGTGTTTTGCACTAACGGTGTGTTTTATGCCTTGTAGGAGTGATTCCGAGCTATATAGATATTATAGAATGAAACTAAGTAATTTGGATCTTTGAAGTCTGAGTCAGAGCTCAAGGAATTAAGCCGGGATCGCGTTTGGGGGTCAAATTTGATAATTAAGTACGAATGAAGACTCGAAGAGGCATATTGCGCACTGTCTAGTAAAATAGACATAACTTTTTGCTCAGAACTCTATTTGGGCTTCATAATATATGGTTGGAAAGATAACTCAAAGAGCTACAACTTTCATGTTTTACATTTTTCCAAATTCCAAATGGAACAGGGTGAAAAACCGCGGTTACGGCAGGACCGGGATAGGACCGCGGTAGAGCAGAGCTGCAGATTCAGAGGGCCTATTTGGCCGCGGTCCCGGCGGAACCGCGGTGGGGACCGCGGCAGGACGCGTAAATTTCAGGGACCAAAGTGCAAAACACGAGATTTTAAGCCCTAAACCTATATTAAACCAAGGAAGCCGGCCAAGAAAGGGGAGAGGATAGATTTGAGACACAGATTCGACCTAAGGAGGCAAGAACGCATTGGGAGCAAGGCGG